GAATTACCTTTTTCACTTGGTTAGTTTAGTATTACAAAAGGGCAACTGAAATGTGTTTCTCTATTGATTTTCATGATGAATATATTTCAGTGCAAACCTTTACTCTATGAATTGAAAGGTACAACAGGTAAAATCTGCACCAGCTTCTAGATTTTTAAATCCTTCGCCTCCACCCCCCCCAGTTTATATCTGATAGAGACAGTATATAAGAAAAGAGAAATAATTTTAAACGAGTATGTAAAATTATTCTTACCAGGATCAATGTATGCTATTCCATTACTGTTTAGATTTAATATCTTCAGTTCACTGACATCTTCAAACTCCTTGGCTCGTAACTGTCGAATTTTGTTGTTGGACAAATCAAGTTTAGCTATATCTGGAGGTATGTTACCTGGAACTTTCTTTAAATCTTAAAAAATGAAAAAGACATAACTTGTATCAGCTTTAGATTATTCTTACTGCCTAGGTATTACAGTTGCATGCCAGACACAGTATTGTCAGTCTAACATTTTTCTTGTTTTCTTTCACTTTTATCCCCTCTTCTAGTGCCAGCATATTTTTTCAGCTTCTGAATTACATCCTTTCCTTACTTGCACCTTTACACTTCATGTGAAAATTGTTCTTTTCATTAGTGCTTATAGTAAAACCTCAGTGGTTTGTATTTTTATTTTAGTAGAACTAGACCATTCACATAGGTATAGGGTAAGTAGTAAAGATACTATACTCATGTAAAAAATGTGTGTGAAGGGCTTGATTGCTTAAAGAAAAGAAACCAGAGTAACTATATAAAACACCACTAAGGCAGCAGAGTGGCATTTAGTCTGCTTCTCTCTTCTACTTCTGTAACTGGAGTTTCCAAAGTAGCCGAGGACCTCTCAATCATCGGTGTCCATATCCTTACAATGTTCCATGCAAAGAACTCCAGAAAGAGCAGCTCCTACTCCAGTAGTAAGGGCCCATGCTTGAGAAGTGCAGACTGTGGTTTGAACCCTCTCAGGGTAATGTTAACAAACCTAATCTCCAGGATTATTATATTTGCTCAATGAGAGTTCTAATCCTGCGCTGTCATAACAAGAAAATGAGCAGTGTCTCTTGTTTGACCGTCTTTAAATGCATGCAAGTATTTTCTGGACTCTGTGTGGTCACTGCACTTCTGAAGTTCTGAAGATATCTAATGAATCAGGTATTTTTGAGACTAAAGCAACATACCAGAGTCTTCCTGCCTTATATCTGAGTATAAGCAGAGATTTGGTATTATAAATACATAAATATTATAACTACTCCAGCCTGCTGTGGTTAGATTGCTTCCTGCTTCTGCAGATGTCAAAGTTTCAGGGCCTATTTATCACCAAATGAATGCAAATAATGCTTGAATTTAGAGGCTTGGAGAGTTTAGCAGTACTAGAAAGCAGATTTGTTTTTCAACTGTCCTTGAAAATACAAGTTCTTTGTAGAAATGCAGACAAATTGCTTTTTGCTTTTGCTTCCATATTTTTTTGCCAAACAGAATCAAGGGCATAGAGTATTTCATTCTGGAGTATCACAAGATCTGGCATATCACTGGTCTGATGAGATATAAGCAAATTATTAAAAAAAAAAAAGAGAACAGACACATGGATAAATGTATTTTTAAGATGTTTCTTTCATGAGCTTTCTGACATAAACTGAAAGCTCCTGACCTGTTGTCATACCTCTTTAGACATACTCAGTAGTGGCAGAGTGAGTGCTTGTCATTCCATTCCTTCCATTGTAAAGGAATAATGGATTGCAGATTTTCATGTCATCTTACTGGTTTGGCCACTGATGCACTATTTTTTTCTATTCTGAATTCTTGTCCATATAGATTTAGAGAAATGTTTGTGTTTTTCCTGGATTTTCTGATGAAAATTCCAGTGAAATTGTGCATCTGCTGTACAATATTCATCTACAAAGACAGTAAGTACAATGCTTTCATCAAAGATTGCCATATGTTCAGAAATACCAAATATCCATGGGATATCTGCATCCAGCTGTCAAACATATGCACAGTAGATCTAGTACTTCCAAAAAAGTATTGAAACATACTCAGTGTGTCCATGCTAGGCATGCAGGAAGTTCTGGATTGACATACTCAGTTCTTGACCTGAAGGAGGGAGTCCCTGTACCTTTTAATACTCTTGGGTAGAGGTTGAAATAACTTTATTCCTCCATTATTAATATTAAAGGCAATAAACCATGTTTTCAAATACCGTAAACCTCTTTGAAACTCCCATGAAGACCAGATCACATTGAATGTTTCTATGAACTTAGAGAAAAAAGTAAATTTTTTTTCCCCAGAAGTTTTTTGGGTATATTTGTGTATTCAGCTCATCTCTTTGATACCACTAAGAGGGGAGAGCTGTAAAGTCAGTCTTTGCTTATATTAGGATTATTATTTATGCCAGGGCTTTGTTCAATAAGAGTTTACTGAATAGTAAGAGTGATATAATTAAGATCTATGAAGGATAATTAAGATCATAACCTATAATCTAATAATTACAATCTTATCTAAAAGGAAAGGTAAGATAGATGAATATGAAATAATTATAAAAGCAGCATAAATCATTAATTAAAAGATGTAGTGGCTGCATGGTAAAAGAAAGAGAAAATTGAGCCAGAGGGACAAGAAAAGAATTTGCAGGGTGAAAAAAAGTAAAGAATACAGACCATTTTTATGGCAATATACAGACATCTGTATGTATTCTACATATATAGTAGATAAAATGTAATCAAATACTGAAATCATGAATCCTTGCTATTTAGGTATTATCTTCTTATGCTAAATTCTGAGCTTTTCTCTGGCATAAAGGTGCAAGAGTAAGGATTTTACATAAAATCAAGTCACTTTTAAAGCAGATAGAAGTTCAGCTGAATAAAACATTCAGGCTGAGCTCTGGTAAAATTGGGAAAAAGGTCTCACAATGTTGGCTGCTTCAAGCAATGATTCTTTTTTCAGAATTGTTATGTTAAAGAATTATTCTCCTCTGAATTGTTTTTTTGTTTGCTTTGTTTTGTCATGGGATAAAATATGGGAAATATAAAGGACAAATAAATGTGCATTTTCATGTTGATATGTACCCCATCTGGTTTACCCTTAGGGCTTAACTGTGGCTCTTAGGGGCCTGAGAAAGATTTAGAGATGGAATTGATCCAAGTGTCTGAAAAAACATTTCTTGAAGTCCCTTCAACTTTGAATTGTTTGCTGGGTGCTGGGAAGAAGAACACAGAGGAGGTATTTCTTTATGAACAAAAACATACAATTTTTTTCCCTTAGCAGAAGAAATCTTGTGCAGCAAATGTGAGGATGCAAAGCCTTTCCTTTGCAATGAGGTTCCTCTGGGCATTGAAAACACAGCTGGCTGCTCCAGTTCTGCTTCACAGGTCACTTCTGTTATTGCTATCTTTGTGTTTGTACAATGGAAGAAAGAAAAGACACTCTGCTTGTCTGTATCAGTTCAACAGTTTCAGCAGAGCTGTAATTTGACTGATTAGTATGTTTATAATTGTACAATCAGACTAGTAACTTAAGTAATATGCTTAGTTTTATTCCTGTTGATTTCTGTTAGATACATTACAGCACTAAGGAATATCTGTGGAATTTGGGCTGCAGAGCAGAGGAAAAATGCAGGAAGAATTCCTACTTATTGCTGATAGTTACAAGAGAAAAACAATAAACAATTTAAGTAAAGCGAGTACTATACTAAGTTCATTTGCAGTAAATAATGTGTGAATACATGTAGAAAGGATTAAATAAATAGAATATTAAAATCTTTCATTCAGTTATAACGACAGATACAAACCTTTTCTTCTGCAGTTCAGTGTTGTCACAGGAAACACATACATGTGGCACAAAGAGGAATCAAATTCTGGTTTGGCAGGTTCAGGCTTCTCCCGTTTTATGTTTTTGGGATCCTGCCTGTCCTCTTCACTACATAGCTGATCTGCTTTTACCTGCTTTAACTTCTGATTTTTCAGTTCTATTGGGTGCACACATTTGGCATAATTTCCCAAATTCCTGTTTGTTGGAACCTGTAGCATTGTAACAAGAGTTTCTAGTTCACAGCTGCAATGCCAGGGATTGTCGTAGAGACGTAGGTAGTTTAGACTGGGTGTATAAATAAAAATCTCCTCAGATAAAATCTTAATTTGGTTATGCTGAAGTAAGAGTGTGGTAAGTTTATCCAAACCATAAAAAGCCTCGCTCTCAATTTTTGATATGTCATTCTGTTGTAAATCCAGACTTTTCAGCACTTTATACTTAGAAAACATATTATTCTTTAATTTACGAATTCTGTTTCTTGCTAGCAGCATGTGTTTTATATCCTCTGGCCAATCAGGTGCCACGAAAACCAATTTTCTTTCCTGACAGTCTAAGTATTTCTCATGAAGATAAGTGTAAATATCACATGTTAGGTCTCGGGCATTGCGCTTAACAGTGCTAGATGCTCTCCTTAAGATGTTTTCCCTTTCATTGTTTCTCAAACTCCTATTCCTTGTCCTCCTACAGTCAGATGCATTACAAAGAAGAAGTAGTAATATAATAGTAACTACTTGCATCCTGTCATTCAGCTGGCCCCAGTTCTTTTCTGTGACAGCTGGAACACTTGAAATTTTTTGATATTCCGAATCAGTGTCGTACAGATCTGGGGAGGCACAGCTGGGGTATGTGGGATCCCTGTGTTGGAAGAAAAGTAAAACATTAGAACAGATGGAATGGGCATTTCCATTGAGGACTGTATATAATATGCAGTCAAGTACTCAATCATCACACTACTTGGAACTTCACAAATACTTTGAAGATTTAATGTCCTGTCTCTTTTTGTTTGTTAGTTTTTACTGACTCTGGTCTACTGTTTTTCATTATGATTAAGCATGGGAAACTATATGGACCAATTTCTCACTGAGCTTTGTTAGGAGATTCTCATGCGTTCAGGAAAACAGCATCAGGGTGGACCATTTTGTATTTGAGTTAATCTTGGAAGATGAGCTCAAACGAGGAGTTTGAAGTTTCCAACACTTCCCGGAAGATGAGCTCAAACGAGGAGTTTGAAGCTGGTCTTTTCCGACTTCCTGAGTGTTGGAAACAACTGGAACATGTACAGAGCCAGACCAGGGAAAGCCATCCAGTGCCCATCAGACTGCCAGTTTTAGGTTGTGCTCAAGGGTAGGCTTGTTTTCAAGTCATTTTCTTAGGATTGTTTACCCCAATTTTTGGGGTTTTGTGCTTTCATCACAGTGAAAGCACACTGTGTGATCTGCTGTGACCATGGTTCAGGTCATTGGCCCAGATAGATTGAACCTGTATGAGGAATTCTTACATTTATGTCATACACTGAGGATTTGAACTGTTCACCTTTGATATGATAGTTTTTTGTCTTGCTTGGGTTTGTTGGTTTTTTGGGGTTTTTTTTGGTTGTTTGGTTTCTTTGGTTTTTTGTTTGGGTTTGGAGTTTGTTGTTTCATTTTGGGTGTTATAGGTGAATTAAAAATTTTGCAAGACTTAAATATCTGTGAATGCCAGGGATTAAATATAAGAATTACAAAATCTTTCTACAAACTCTAATTTATACCAAGATGAAAGATTTTTTTTCAATTGCTGTGGCTATTTGGGTTACAAATCTTCCTGATAAAAAGTAGACTTGTGTTCTTGAGTACTTTGAAAGTGGAGTTTAGTAGGATTCAGAGATAATCTGTGAAGTTCTCACTGGTTTTCTACACTACCAGGGCAAAATTATATATTCAGTCTCAATTAATTTCTACAAACAGGCTTTAAAACTTCACCAGTCTGGGAGAAGGGTTTTGTTGTTATTATAAGCTTGGAGTTGTCAACAACAATACGTTTTAATCCTGTATTGTTTACGACTTCCTTTATTCCTTCAGTAGCCACTTGGGCTTTAAAAATGTCGAACTAAATTTCTTGATATTTTTAAGAGCTTTAATTTGAAACGTGTCTAAGAATACAATCACCATTGTGTATTTGTCCATTTTTTCTCAGCTTAACATTTTTAATTTTATCTTGCTTCCATTAATTTTCTCTAATGTTTTTTCATTGCTCTTCCTTGATGAAAAAACAATGTTTGACTTTGCTTTAATTAATCATTTTTTAGAAAAGGCAATGTTATAGGCAAATTTTTCTTATAATAAATCAGTCTAAGAATAACATTAATATTTTGTTCAGAAATTACTTTTCTTAATATATTAATGTATTTATAGGATATAAATTACATTACTAGTGTTAAGTAGATATTTAAAAATAAATAAATAAAAATAAATAAATAGAATAAAAATTTATAAAATAAATCAATAAATAATTATCATTTGTAGTCACTTTTTAGTGAAGTGTATATCCAGTGGTCTAGCCCAGAAACACCAGTATTTATACACAAGCTTTTGAAAATTACCATAGGTAAAATACAACTTAAGAATTTCAAACAAATATGGTTTAGGATAGTCAAGTTAGTGATGCAAGGGCTGCTTTTCTCCCCTTATCCATAGAACTAGTAATTTCATAATAGAAAATTATCAAATTAGTGAGGAATGCTTTGCCCTTGATAGACTCATGCTGGCTTTTCAGTGTCACTTTTTCATCCTTCGTGTGCTTGGACAGGGTTTCATGGAGGATTTGCTACATAACCTTCCCAGGGACTCAAGTGGAGCTGACTGGCCTGTAGATTCTTGGACCTTCTTCCATTTCCTGAAAATGGAAGTGACATTTCTTATCTTCCAGTCATTAGGAATCTCCTCTGACTGTCATGACCTTTCAAAAATGAGCGAGGCCTCTCAATGACAAGAGACAGCTTTCTTCCTCTTGGATGCACTCTGTCTCATCCCATTTCCTCAGGTGCTCCCTGACATTAGCTTCTTCTACGATGGATATTGCTTCACTCTCACAGACTCTGCTCACAGGCTCCAGCCAGGCACCTGAGAAGCCTTCAGACAGGCCTTAGCTGTAAAAACCGAGGCTAAAAAGTAATGGAGTAGCTTGTCCTTGAAGATTAACCCGTTCTCCTGGGCTCCTTTGCCCTCCAGGGCTGTCTACTGTGAGGTCCTGTTAAACAGATCCCTAAACTAGCAAAAATCTGCTAACAAGTTCAGGGTTTTTTCTTCTACAGTTTGTCCAATTTTCTTCTATTTGGATTTTGAACTTCCCATTTTCTCATTTCTGTGGCTGCAGTAACCAAAGCCATTCAACTTTATTCAAGCTGACATTCATTCAAGCTTGCATTCCTTCACCTGTTGAAGAACACATTCCCTAGACCACTTGTCAGCCAGCTGGATCAGGAGATTGTCTTCAGCATACTCTAGAAGTGTCCTGGATTGTTCATGCCCAGCCATATTTTCTGGCAGCATATAGCAGTGGGTAAAGTCTCTCATGAGTATCCAGGACAGGCAAGAGTAAAGCTTCCTTCAGCTGCCCAAAGGTTTCATCCACCATCTCATCTTGATCAAGCAGATCAAGCAGTCTGCAGCAGATCCCTACCCCAATATAATGCTCATAGTTCTAGCTTCTAATCATTACAAATAAGTTCATAGTTGACTTGTCACTCATTTCAATGCAAAGCTCAGGCTTGATTTTGCATAGAGTGCAGCTTTCTGGGCTGTCATTCCTAAATATTCTGGAACCTTTCATTGCACCCCTTCAATTGCATGTGCTATCTCTCTGCACCTCTGGAGTCCCAGTGAAATCACAGCTCTGTACCTGTGCATGGACTTCAGTCCCTGCTGGTTGATTCCCAAGCTACAAGACTTTGTGTTCAGACACTTAAATAGATGCCTTTGTGCTGCTTTTGCATGGAAGGTTTCAGAGATTTTCCTCATCACTATTTCGCCCAGCTTTCTAACCACTCCCTCTGCCTTCACTGCATTCCATGTTGTGGTTATCTTCCATCTACATACCTGTTTTTACTGATATATCTCCTCTCTCAAATCCTTTCTTGCAGAGATAGATTTCAAAAGCACAAACTTTCCTCTTTAGGATTGGCTGGTATTGAATTTCCAGTTATCTGGATGGTCCTTTTGCCTGATAACTGAAATAGGGAAAAGGTGATCACAACATGGAAAAAGACACAGGCTCAACTATTACATTTTCATTTACAAGTACTCATTTTTTGCCTTTGCATTAAATTGACATTTATTGTGAAACATTTATCATACTAGGAGATTTGTTCCCTTTATATAAGAATGGAACAATATGAGTAGTACCTGTTCTGCAGGCCAAGAAAATATGGAAGCCTTATAATTACTCAAGTTTAATGTTCCACCTAGAAAGTAGAACTAAACAGGAAACATTGTGTAAATTATATTCTATTACATTATATTACTGGTTAGAGAAATATACCAGAGTTCATGGAGAAAATTAACCAATGGTTTTAGATACCATTTAGTAATCTGGGTTTAGCAAAATGTGTTAACATGTGCTAACCTTCAATCATGTGATAAGTCTCTTGTGCTCTGTAGGTCTGCAGAGTGTAGGTATCCTTTAAAATGATAAAATGACCATACTTCAAGTTAGGAACAGTAGCATCACATGTCTCAGTATTCTACTTTGAGGTTTCCAAAGAAAATGGCTGAGATGTACAGAAATTGTTATGATGATTTAAAGATACTCAGATTTTTTTCCCTTATACATATACATACAAATATAATTATAATAAACTTCTGGGTATTTTTTTATTATTCAGCCAGTTTAAGTCTATTTAAATCTGTTGTATAGACATAGTACTTATTGAACTCTAAGACTATTGACAAGGTAATTAAAAATAAATATGAAACTGTGTTTGTTTTAATCTTACAGAAAATTTAGAGGCATGTGTAATAAAAATACTCTTTTTTGAGTTATTTGTAGGATTCTGTCTGCTATACAAAATGAAACAAGTGCCCCACAGATTTAATTTATATAGCAGTTCTTTTATCTTTTTAGTATATCTAAAAATATATGCTAGATTCTCTTATGTATTGCATAGTTTCACAAAACTTTTAAAAGAAAATGATATCCAGAAATTTCATGTGCATGTCCAGTTCCTCATGATGATGTAAGAAGTTTGGAAGTTAGATATGTTGTTAAAAATTGATCCTCAAGAGAGGATTGTGGGTAGGTGCACTGTTTGAGCCAAGGCCTTGTGTGACAACTGCAAAAGAAAGAGTTATTCCAATCTGATATTTGGAAGTTCAGTGAGCTGAAGTTAGAGGAATTAACAGTCTTTAAAAAGTCTGCCTTTCCTGTTTCAGAGGTATCCCTAGAGACTCAAGGTCTGCCTGGCAGGTAGAATTGCTGGATTAAAAGCTGCCATGGAAGAAATGAGGTGAGCTGTTCACAAGAGCAGTCATCACAAAGATGTATATGGATTTGAAAAATAGCTGTACACTGTTCCTCTTTGCTGTGAGGAAAACAAATGTATGTCTTTCAACAACACCCCCATGACGTTCAGAAACATGTTTTTCTTTGGCGTTTGCATAATACATTTAAACTTTTGTTTTTCTTAGTCTGAAATGCCATATACTCACATAACTAACATTTGTTTTGGCAAAGTTTTGCATTAGTGTCTCCAATTCTACCACTCATCTTATCAGTATTACTTTTATTATAATCTGTGTTTTTTCCATGTTGGCTGATATTTTGTCTTTTTAGATTTCCATATATTTATACTGAAGTTTGGAACATAATTTTTTTGAAGTGTAAATAGCAAATAAAAACTCTCCACTGACAAAAGACCTTTTGCAGTTATCTTGTACCTTGTAATATGAAATTTTCCAGTCACACATTTTGTTTCTGATTTAAAACCATAAGATTACACTCTTTGTATTGATAATTTTTAGACAAAAAACAAAACTCATTGTTTCTGAGATTATGGGGCTGTACAAAAAGCTGCTGTCTTGTGAAGAATTTGATAGCAGACAGATTTTGTGAACATTTCACATGGCAATCCTAAAAGCATTAGCTCAGCACAGGTTCTGTGTACTATGGTAACTAACACAAAGTGCTTAGAGGTGGCAGTATTGCATTTCATAATGCTGCATGTGAAGTTTGCTGTGGTGTATCAGACATCCTTTATTGCAACAAGGAGCTAGTGAAGTGTAGGGGTCATTTTTTATTCTC